ACCCTTTCCTAGAAGCTTGTCTAGTGGGCAAAAGTGAGGAAGATTTTGAAGGAAAATCCGAGGGACAGGCAGGCCACTGATAGAACACTGGAGTAGCTCCCATTGTAGCCTGGAATTGGCCCAAAGGTACATTGTACCCAGTGCCTACTAGAGGATCCACAGGATCCTCAGCCCAGAGCCAGGCCAGAATTCCAGAGAGTAGCTTCCAGGGGGATGTATCCATGAGAAGACTGCACGGTGAGGCCATCTCTGTGCCCAGTCTCCTCCATAACCCACATCTTCAGATACATGTACACATGTAATCTAGCATTACCTGCTAAGATGAACTGTAGCTTAGAGGCATCAGGAATGGCAATGCGGTCGATGTACTCAGGATCCAGGTATTTGATCAGGTCTTCAACTAGAAAAGTAGCAAGATGGAAAATGGAACTAACAGGGTTGGGAAGCAGAGCTCTGTCTTATGAAGGATGTTTGGTCAACCTTGGGGAGAGCCTTGAATAAGAATCTGACACCCACAGTGCCCCATCAGCAGGCCTCTACCAGGTTCTCTATCCCAGGGGTCCCCAACCTATGGTAAGTTGTATAATTATTTCATTATATATTACAAGGTAATAATAATAAAGTACACAATACATGTAATGTGCTTGAATCATCTGGGAAACCATCCCCTGCCCAGGTCCCTGGAAAAACTGTCTTCTATGAAAAGTGTCCCTGGTGCCAAAAATGTTGGGGACTACTGCTCCACTTCCCTGTCTCTCCACTCTCTTCACCCGCTGGCTGACCTCAGGCTTCAGAGCTGGAAACACAATTGCTGCCACTACCCTGGGGCCCTCAACATTCCCACTGACCTGTCCTCACTGAGAGTAGAAGGCCTCTTCTTCTCAGTGCCCCCAAGACAAGTCAGAACTTTGTCTGATTTCTAGTTACTGAGCAGGTTAATAGCTCTGATATAACCAAAAAAAGCCTGGCTGAACAAAGGCTGCGGCTATCAGTTCCTAATTTCTTTCCTGCCTCTTAGCCTTGCCTGAAAAATCTCCAACCCTTTTTAAAAGTTTTCAGGCAGAGCTCTCCTCCCATAACTTAGGGCACTGTCATAACTCACCTTAGGCTAAATCTGAGGTTTATCCACAAGGTAGAAAAGCACACTTCAATTCACCAACTGAATTGGGGGCAAGTAAATGTCTTCACATTCTTTCTATCCTAAGGGCTATTCCAGTGATCTAATGAATTGAAGGGCCAGGGCCAGGATCCAGGAAGCACAGGCATGGGAAGTCGTGCAGGCAGGCACATCATGGAAGCACTTACTCTTTTTGTACAGAATCTTTACCCTCTCCCTCTTGCTGGCAATGTTCCCCAAAGCCACCTGCACCTTGACCAGGCCATCAGCCACCTGTAAGGGAAATGAGGTTAATTCCAACATGTACCACCTGACTCATGGCTTGGAGGAAATAAAGAACACTCACTCCCCCAGATTCCCATCCCTGAATCCCAGTAATCTAGATTGGTCCCCTTCTCTTATATTAAAGGAGATACAGCCTCACCTTAGGGAATCCTTACTGTGAAGGGAGAGAGAGTCATGTACTCCTTGGGGAGTTTAAGGTCTGATTGGGGAAGCAGTGAACTATTTTAGAGTTTATATAACACACTATGAGAAGTCTTTCCGGAAAGCATCCAGTCATATAATATGAAAAAGACATTTATTGAGGAAGATACAGGAAACACTACATAAAACAATGACACCTCAGTCCCCTTCAAGGTAGGTACCTTGTGACCTCACACAGTTCTCCCAGCATCTCTCTCTCTTTTTTTTGAGACAGAGTCTCACTCTGTTGCCTGGGCTAGAGTGCTGTGGTGTCAGCCTAGCTCACAGCAACCTCAAACTCCTGGGCTCAAGCAATCCTTCTGCCTCAGCCTCCGGAGTAGCTGGGACCACAGGCATGCACCAGCATGCCTGGCTAATTTTTCTATTTTTCATAGAGACAGGGTCTCACTCTTGCTCAGGCTAATCTCAATTCCTGACCTCAAGTGATCCTCCTGCCTCAGCCTTCCAGAGTGCTAGGATTACAGGCACTATACAGGCATTATAAAAGCCACCATGCCCAGCCTCTCCAAATGCCTCTTAACCTAACCCATACACATTCAACATTCTCAGACGTTCTGCTTATCGCAGGCCTTCCAGAACATGGATCACTTTCAACAGATTCTCAACCATCTTTGAAGCATTTGTGCCACATTTTTATTTGCACTGCAGTCATTGCATCATCCCCATAAGCCTCCTGAATCATCCAAATAGTTTCCATGGAGAGATGTTCAAACTTAACACAAAATCTGATGCAGATCTGTTGCTCTACTCGCTCAATGATTTTGAATGTGATGGCCACACAGTACACATGCTCACTCCATGGTGTCTAGCACCCCACTGATTCCCAATGACTATTACAGTAAAGTTGTCATTGTTTATGCATGTACATAACAGTCCACTCTCCTTAGCTGCCAGGTTACATCAATGTCATGCAAACCATTGTTGTTATATTAACAAAGGCTGATACCTTCTGGACAGACCTTGTATATTCTCTGGTTCCTAAGGCTGAGGTTTGAGCATAAGAAATGTTAGCATCCTCATCCAGACCTTCATTACTTCATGACTGGATGATTGTACCAGGCCCCAGGCTGGCCTACCTCTACTCCTATCCCCTCCACATAAACTCTAGGGTAGGAGACTGAAGAATGTAACATGACTAGTATCCCAATGATGATACAAACCCTGTATTAGGGAGAATGCAGAAGAGAATCGGGTTAGGGGAGATAAAGAGTACAGTTAAGAGAATATGGATTGAGTTTGAGTTACTTGTTGGATATTCAAGTGGAAAAATCCAGTAGACAATGGGACATACAAGTCTGGTTCTCAGAACAGAAATCTGGACCTGAGATATACATTTGAGACATAATGACATGTAAATAGTAACTGAAACTGTGGAAGTGAGTGAGCCTAACTAGGGCTTAGGGGTAGAAGGTAAGGAACTCCAATATTAAAAAGTCAAATAGAAAAGAAGGCTAAGGAAGTTAATGTGCTCACCCAGGTTTTAGGATAAAGGGTGAGAAATAACAATATTCAAGGATTAAATATATGAGGAAACAAATAAACTGAGAAGCATCAGTCAGAGAGGTAGAAGGAAAACCAGGAGGGTTAGGTTAGCATCATAGATGCCAAAGGAAAAGAATGTTTGAGAAGTTAGTTCTCAAACAGGAGCACAATCTGCTAGTGACAACTGATTCCACAAGAATTGTTGCAGACGACATTACCTTGGATGCACTTAGCTCCAGGATATGCCTGACATTCGATTAGAACGTCTTCAGTAAAAGGTCTTCCCACAGTAGAAAGGGGATAGGAGAACACCTAAGCCTCATGAGTGTCAAAATTCAGTCATTGGTGTAAAGGAGTGCCGGTCCACATCTGAACACTCAGTATCCAATCCCTCCGCCTCCTAATCCTGGCCCTCTCAGACCTCACCTCTCGCTCCTTGGAGCTTCCTTACCCACCTCTGCTCTGCCTCTTCTCGGGTCCCATAGACCTCTCCCTACACAATTCACTTAGCAATTAATTATGCAGGGCTCCATGACAGCACTTCCATTGTAAACTTCAGCTCTTATTGAAACTCTCATTAGTCAGCTTATCAAGTGTGTCAGATCCCCCCAACTAATACACGAGGGGAAGGGGGAGTCTTAGTCACAGTTGTTACTCAGCCCACTCAAGCAGGCCTCACCACCCGCAAATCCCCCCATAGGCCGAGGGTCCAATCGGCTCTGGGAGGCCTGACCTCTGTTATTTCAAAGGCCGGACTGCCGACGACAGGACTGGAGCAGTTGCATCCATCCCAAGGGCCGGACCAGTGGACCGCTCTTGCTCTTCTCCAGAAAGGAACCACCGGAGCAGACCTCTCACCTTCCGCGAGCCGCGCGTCCCGCCCGGCCCGTACACCCAGCGCTCCAGCTCCTCCACTCGGGCCTGTAGCCGCTGCACATCAGTCAGAGCCGCCATCTCCACTACCGCCCCACCTCAGCCGGGAAACAGCCAGAGGGCGGGACGTCCGTCCGAACAGGAAGGCTGACCAATCCGAGTGCACGGGTGGCCTTCTATGCAGGAAGTGACGTCACGACACAGCCTTTCAGTGCCGGAAGTGCCCTCCGGGGTCTGGCGAAAGGTGCCAGAAACTGTCTGGTTACCTTGACAACAACTGTGCATTCTGGCTTTCCCCTGGCTTCCAGCGCCTGGTTGTCAAGACAACATTTGCCTTCCGGTATCAAAGAGATTTCTGCATTGTCTGCGTTTGCATGTATAAATACACCTACTATTCCAGGATAGGTCCATTCCCATAGATCAGCGATCCCCAACCTTTTTGGTACCAGGGACCGGTTTCATGAGAGACAATTTTTCCCTGGCAGGGGGTGGGGGCTAGGGGATGCGGAGCTTAGGCGGTGATGCAAACGTTAGGGAACTTCTGTAAATACAGATGAAGCTTCCCTTACCTCCTGCTTTGCGCACCCCACTTCCCTAAGTTTCATGGAAGACAATTTTTCCACGAGGGCGGAGGGGTGGAGGCGGAGCTCTGCAGCCCTGCCCTAACAGGCCGTGGACCACTGGGGAGCTCTGGGGACCACAGCCATAGATACTAGGGGACTCTGAGTTGCCATGAACTTTTGGAGTCTTTTAAGGTTCAAGAAATTAAATGACTTGCCCAAGGCCACCCAGCACTATAGTGACATAATTGTCACTATAATAGGACTTGAACTCAGCTAGTCTGAAGAGATAGAGCTCTTCTATTCTCAGGGAGCTTCCCTATACTGCCTACTTCTGTGAGAGCTCCTGGCCCAATGCAGCCAGTGTGCCCCATCATTCCTCCCCACTTCCCAGACCCAAACAAGAAGAGGAGGCATTGGAGAGGGAGGGACCACAGCTTTATTGTCCAGATGTGACCTGAGGGATGGCTCCTTCACAATACCCCAACCCAGCCTTTCACCTGGCTCCTGAAGAGAAGCAGGGCTGACTCAGAGGGGCAGGATCCTAGAGATGACATTGGCACAGGAAGCACCTGAGGAGATGATGGGGGTTACTGGGAAAAGAACCCTTTGGTAGATGCTGCTAGAATTGGCCAGGGAGGAGGTGCCCTCCCTTTACAATGAGGTAGATGTAACATCAAAAGAACATTTGGCTTCAAGTCCACATGGCATGGGGGGGTGGAGGTCACCTCCTAGGGCTGGGTCCCAGAGTAGACACCCTGAAAGAATCAAGGTGGAGGAGGGTCTCTTCCCCCCTCAGCAATGGGGCTGGGACTCTTAGTTCTGACTAGGAGCTTTTAGGGAAAGGTGCTGGAAGGGGGCCCTGTAGAGGGTGGGGGTGCAGGGTTGGTTGGGCCCTGGGAAGCTGGCACAGGCTGGCGGCGGGCAAAGAGGACACCTGGTAAAGGGATGAGGAGATGATAGAGGGCAAATAGGAGGGGGTAGGGCATGAAAACAGAAAAGGGGAACAAAAGTAAGTGTCCTGATTGCTAGAACACCACACACATACCCCTACCACAAACCAGTGAGGACAAGCCCCTTGAGTCAGTGAGAGACTCCTATGACAATGTAGATACCCTTGAACAGGTAAACAAGAAATATTTACACTGATACATAAGCCCACGACAAGGCAGACATCCCATGGTACCCATGCCAAGGAGCTCATGCCTTGGACCCCATGCCATGTAGACACCCCCTTTAACGCATGCCAGTGTAGCAATCCCCCAAACCCCATGTTACCCATGCAATTGTAGATAACTCTGAACCTCATGCTAGTAGAGAAAGTCTAAAATCCCATGTCAGTCTAAATACCCCTAACCCCATGCCAGTGTAGACAGCCTACAGTACCCATACCAGTGTAGACCACCCCGTTGATCTCTAGGGCCATGTTGATACTGCTGATGCCACTGCCTGCCAGATTGAGAGGCCCGTCCAGCTGCTCTTCTGTCCAGGAGGAGAGTAGTAACATTTTGGGGATTCAGACTTCAGACTTAGAAGTGCCCCCTCCATCCCTGTAGACAGCCCCCATTCCACTTCAGCCCCATACCTGTAATCACATAGTTGTCTATAGAGGGATCTGTCAGCTCCACCCCAACACCTATCAGTTGATGGGTCTATCCTCCCTCAGTGTACAGGCCTGAAGCCCCCTCATAACATGCCCCTCCTCACCCCTCAGGGGAACTTTGCCACGGGGCAGAAAACTGGGGGGCATGCCAGGTCGAGGTGGGTCCATAGGCCCCATCAGCACAGCCCTCTTCTCTGGGGGCTCCTCTGGTGCCAGCTTCTCCCGTGTAGGTCCCAAGGCCAGGCCCACAGGCAGTGCCAGGTGAGGGGTTGGAACGCCACTCTCCTCTGAAAGAACAGGTCATTCAGCTCCCCTGGCCCAACCAATCCATCTCTGCATTTAGTTCTCCCCCAGCCCTGGGACCAAGAGAGGTCACCCAAGCTCATGCACAATCTCTCATCCTTCATTCAATCTCTCTTTCCATCCAGAGCCTCAGCCTGGAAACGCTGAAGCTATAGAGCCCCAAGGACCAATGGTATATGCCTAGGTTGGTCCGAGAGAATTTGGGGGATTGTTATTGTTGTCCTTCTTGGTTGTTAAATAATCCAGGTCATGGGAGGCACAAATCACATGCAAATAGGAGCCCTGGGTGGACAGGTGTGGAACAGAGCTGCTGCAATTAAAGAACCTTTTCCTGAGCTTCCACCTCACACTGCAGTAACCAGTACCGCAGAGCTCTCAAGGCTTTTCTTTAGAATGTCTCACTCTATTCCCAGGCTAGAGTACAGTGGAGACATCATAGCTCACTGCAATCTCAAACTCCTGAGCTCAAGCTATCCTCCCGCCTGGGCCTTCCAAAGTGCTAGGATTGCAGGCAGTGAGACACCGCGCCCTGCCTCTCAAGGCTTTATTGATCCCAAACTTCAGGACCTCTAAACCTTAGCAACTCCCAAACCTCAGAGCCCTGTCAGACCCCTTACTACTCCCATACCGCAATGCCTCCCAGACCTCAGAGTCCCCATATCTTAATGTTTCCTATATCAGGCGTCCGCCTAGACCTCAGAGACCCCTAAACGTCTGCCACTCTCCCCTCGCACCTTTCTTGATAGGGCTTGGGCTTAGCTGGGCGCACGCATGCGCCGGCAGGCCGGAGGCGGATCCCTGGGCGGGGCCGGGGCCGGGCGGTTGTGCGAGAGGGGCGGGGCCGGGACCCAAGCCTGGTCCCTGAGTTCCCCGAGGGGGCGGTCCTGTCAAGCCGAACAGCGGGGCTGCAGTGTAAGCCTGGCGACGGCCTTCGCGCCGATTGCTGTCTATGGCGGCCTGGAGCTCCCCAGGGGAGCTGAGCGCCCGCGTCTCGCACTCATACGGATACAGGTACTTCATGTACCTAGGAGCGGACAGGCGGTGGGGAGTGTGTAGGAGGCTGGGCCCGGCTAGTCAAGTCCCACACCCAGGTGCCGGCCCCAGGACCCTCCACACCTCGCCCTGCCCCCAACCCCGCGCGCTTTCCCTTCCGCTCGCGCCCCTGGCCTCACTGGGTGCGTAGAGTGAAGGCGGCCGAGGTGATGGTGGTAGGCAGGCTGAGGCCGCGCGTGACCTCCCGCCACACTTTGCGATTGATGACTTCCACCAGGCCGCCCTTAGCGGTCACCAGGCGAAACAGTGCATACAGGTCCAGCACCTGCTTGGCCATGATGGGCACACGGTTCACTGGCGTCCCTAGTGGGGAATAGGCGAAAGTCAGGAGACTGAGACTAAGGCACTGTCTGCGGGCATCCCCGGGGACTGAAGGAATTGGATACCTGCACGAGGCCTGGGTACAGGGCGGGACCCCCGGGGACACGGAGGGAAAGAGGGAGAGATGGGGAGGTGGGATTACAGGCAGAGCCCCAGACAACCCCCTCCAGGGCCTCTATTTTAGCAGGAAGAACAGGAGGCTAACCAGCGGTCTACAAACTTCTCCTGTAAAAGGCCAGATGGTTAATATTTTAGGCCAAACGATCTCTGTCACAACTACTCAACTCTGCCACTGTAGCCTGAAAGCAGCCATAGAGGATACTTAAAGTAATGGACGTGGTTGTGTTCCAATACGACTTTATTTGGAGACTGAAATTCGAATTTCATACGTCTGGAAATGTTATTCGTGTTTTAATTTTTTCCCTCTACTATTTAAACATGTAAAAACCATTCTTATCTCAGGCGTCTGGGTTTGGCCCTCTAGCTTCAGTTTGCTGCCCCCTGGGGTAGACTGTAGGAAGGACTTCCGGACGGTGCTGAAGAGCCAGACTCCCCCAAGCAGCAGCCTGTGGGTGGCTGCCCGGGCTTGGGGATGGCGGGCAGGAGAAGCAGCAGCTCCCGCCTCGGCCGGCCGACTCTGCAGCCCGCGCCACCCCCGTCGGCCAGCCCTGACAAAGGGGCCTGTCTGCGCTGAGCGATGGGCCCCAGTTAATTCCTTACCGATCCCGTCCCCTTCCGCCGCCGCCTTTGGACCCGAACAATTAGCTGCGGCCTGATTAATGGGGGAAAATTATCGGCCCCGCGGGACCCCCTCCCCCCGCAGCTGGAGCGGAGGGAGGCAGGGACCGAAAGGAGGCCGAGCTGGTGGGGGGAATGGGCGAGCACGCAGCGCTGGGATCGGTTCACACCGCTCTCCCCCAGCCCTCCACCCCCTCCCCGCCCCTGGAGGGGAGGCCTTGAGGAAGGGCCAGAGGAGGGGACGCTGGTACCAGAACGATCGGGCCTTTCTGGGGAACAAGAGAACTTTGGGCCCACCAAGGGTCCCCGGGAAGGAAGGGGCCCGAAAAGGGTGCTGAGCTTGGGGTGAGGGCCAGGAGACTTGGGCCAGCAGCTGCACTAAGGAAGGGAGGGGGCAGTGCAGCCAGTTAATTAGCAGCTTATCGGGCCGCGCTCTGAGTGAGTTAATTAGCTTTGTAGAGAGAGATAATGAGTCAGTGTGCAGTCCCATGAATCTGGGGAGAAGCTGAAGTGATGGACTGCCGCCCACTGTGATGCCCTCCTGGACCCTTCCTGCATTCTCTTCCAGCTCTCTGAGATTCCTGGAAAGGAATTTCTCCTCCTCCACAGCCCCAACTCACGTAGTCCTCAGCCCACCCCTTGGGAAGTCCTTCCTTCAGTCTAACCCCAGTCCTTCCTGCTGTAGTAAGCACATGAGGTGTCCTCTGCCTGAAGCAAGGGGAAAATGAGGACAGCCAAGGCTGGAAGAAGGCTCTTGATGGAGAACCAAGGCATTCCTAGCCCCTTTAGTCCTGGGACCCTCCCACCCCAGGCCAGCCCCCCACTGGTTCCTCCTTCCACCCTCCCAATTGATCCCACACTCATTAACCTGCCAGTGGACTGGCCACTAATTAATCCTGGGGTAGAGGAGGGGGGCAGGGTCAGAGGTTAAAGACGCTATTGAGGGCCCAGAGGACAGGTGATGCCAAGCTCAGGCGTCTTCAGGGAGAACCCAACCTAGTTTCCTCAGACCTGAGAAGTGGGGGCAATTCTGGGATCCTTTCCCCCCACATCACCCCACTCACCCCTCTTTTGCATGAAGCTAAACAGGTCGTCCAGAAATTCCTTCCTCTTGGGGTCTGCATCGAGCTCATACAGCTGGGAAAGGATTGGGGTGATTCTCCAGTTCCAGTGACCCCCCTCCCCCAGGACCCCAATTCAGGTTGTGTCCTGAAAAAGGGTCCCTAGCTGAAGGGGTGCATAGGGTCTGAATGTGGACTCCCTGACATTAGCATTAGGCTCTCTCCCCTTGTGGACAGGTAGGCATGCAGACAGGTAGGCGTATGTTTTCTAATACGTACAGAGACCAGTACTGGCTGTGGTACCCTGGCAGCTCAAACCACCCATCTAGGGGGTAGGGAAAGAGAGGAAATAGGAAGGAGCTGGGGAGGCTTAACCTGTCCTCCAGGATTGGGTCTTCCCCCACCCTAAGTGGACATTCAGAGTCCCAGGAAAGAAGCCAGGCTGGGCTTGAGTTCCATACTGAGGAGACTAATAGTTATATCTGAGGCTCTCGTTCATTTATGCAAGGGCTTCATTCTGCTCACATCCCTGTGTGCCAGGGCTGGGGGTGGACGAGGGGCAGAGATGCTTCTAACCCATCTCTCAGGCAGAGTAGGTGCTCAGAAGCTCCTAAGCTCCTCTTTGACATCTGGGGCCCCTCAACCCACTTTCTAGTCTGATCTTCCATAAGCAGTTATCCTCCCTGTCCCAAGACTGCCACAGAGACTCTGCCACAGAGAACTATGCCACCCAGGACTTGTGGGGTCAGGACTTGAAGGACCCATGAGTGATCCCACCCTTTCTCAGTCACCAGAGCTCCACCTCCTGTATCAGCTCCCAACTACCACCCAAGAGAAACAATCCCCAGAGTCACAGACTCAGAGTAACAGTCCTTGAGCAACACCCATAGGTAACACTCCATCCCCCAAAAGGGACTCTCAGAGTAAAACACACACACACACACACACACCAATGAATAACAAACCCCAGAGATCCACCTTAGCACAAAAAAATGAGCCCTAAGCCTTAGATGGATACCCACAAATAACACACACACTCTCCAAGTAATAACCTCCAGAATTATACCCAGGAGAAATGATCTCTAGAGCCACATTTCCAGAGTAACAGCCCTGAGTAACACTCCCAGTTTACACTAATGCCATGGAGTACTAGCCATAGATTAACACTTCTGGAAAACACCCACAACCAACACCCTACGAGTTAACACCACCAGAATAGCACACCTGGAGTCACAACCAGGCATAATACCTTCAAAGTGACAGCCTTGAATAATGTCCTGAGAATAACACCCAGAAGGGTTCCCAGGGGGAGAAAAACTCAGATTAAGGCCCCATGAGTAAGGTCTTGTCATTCCCAGTTGCAAAGGAGCTCTTCAGTCATACTGCGGCTGTCGTGGCCATTATTGGCTGGGAACTGTCATCTATAGAACTCAGGCCAGGGAGAAGATTTGGTTGGGGGGGGGTTGCAGTGTGACAGGAAAGAGAGAAGGAGTGTGCCCAGTCAAGGGGGTAGCAACCTCTATTCTCTTTCCAAAGACAGAGGTACACAGCCCAGGGCACACCCACTGGTCCCTAGAATATGACCTTGTGACTTGATGTGTGAGAGGGTAGTTAGGGTGCTGCTGGCACTGGAATCCCCAGCCACTAGATACCCCTCTCTGAAAGGGCCCTACACCCCCTTTCCCTTCCAGCCCCACTAATGGCTTCGAAACTGTCAGTCTCCATGTTTCTGGGCATCTCCTGCACCTCTTAGTGTGTCCCTCTGCACATCTTTCTGTGTATCTGGGTGTCTGTCTCTCCCTCCCTGTCACTAACTTCCAGTCTTCCCACTGTCTCTGTCTAGGTCTCTGTGTGTCTGTGTCTCCATCTTATACAGGGCAGTGGGAGTGGGGGGGCTACTAAGCACTTGGCTCTGCTTTTGCCCAGAGAGGAGGAAGGGGGAGGGCCTGACATTGAGGGGGTCCTACCTGCTTGAACTGTTCCTCGTAGGTCCACTCGTGGGGATGGGGTCCAGGAGCCTGGCTGGAAGGCGAGCTGGGCCCCTGGACCCCTGAATGGCTCTCCTCAGCTGCCGCCTCCTCCTCTGCTCTGGCTTCCTCCACCTCCTCATCTTCTTCAGCATCCTCCTCTTCCTCAGCCCCAACATTCCCCAAGGTCCCCTCAGGGGCCTGTAGGGTTCCAGGGCCAGGCAGGGGAGGCCGTGGTGGCAGCACCGGGCGTGGAGGGGGGGCCAATGGCCCCAGCCCTTGGGCCAACCTAGCTGCCTGCTGTCTCTGCAGGGCCTCCATCACAGCTTCCAGGCGCAGTCCCCCAGCTGGGGGGGGCCCTGGTACCAAGCGGGACCCTGAGGAAAGGGTCGCCTGTGGGGGAGGGAATTAGGGGTGCTCGGTTTTGCTGCTCCCACAACCCCCAACACGAGGAGAGGTGATCATGGATTCAGGGAGCACCGAAGGTCATAAAGAAAGGCAGAAAGAGCTTTCCCAGAGACTGACAGAGAGGTAGAAAGAGCGGGAGAGACAGAGACAGATCCAGGGAATCAGAAATGGCCATTGACAGTGGACAGGGAGAGACTGAGCAGATTAGAGAGGGTGACAGGGGCCAAGAGACAGAGGGAGATGGGGGACATATGTGAGGAGAGGGAGGGAGGGAGTGGGGGAGAGAGAGATAGCCCAGAGAGAGAGATAATGACTGGGAGATATGGGACAGAGTGACCAGGAGAGACAGAGACTGAGAGGGACCAAGATAGAGACAGAGATAGGAAAAGATGAAATTGATAGAAATATTGAGGGGAGAGCCAGAGAATCCTCAAAAGAGATGGAGGAGCAAGAGATAAATATCAAAGACCCAAGTGACAGGCAACCCAGAGAGGGACAGAGACAGAGAGACAGAGGTGGAAAGAGACAGTGAGATGCGAATTGAGAGATACAGGGAAAGACTGATGCAGCAGGAGACAGAGACAGAAGAGAGAGCTTAGAAAGAGACAGTAAATAGATGGGGACACAGAGAGATAGGGACAGGGAAAAACAGAAGGAGAGACAGGGCAGAGAGGTAGAGGACAAGAACCAAGCAGTCACGAGAATAGAGGGCGGTGGGGACAGAGCTTGGGACAGGCACCGGACCGGACGGGTGGGAGGTGGCGGGATCTCCACGTCGGGCTGTCTTCTGGGGACCGCTCACCTGCCTGGCATGGCCCGCTGCCCCCGGCGTCTCCACGGCGCTGCCTCTGCTCCACCCGCCTCCCGGGCGGCCCCTGCCTCGGCTTGGTTCCCTGAGCGGAGTCCCCAGCCGTGCGCTCCGCCGCCTGGCTCTACTCTGACCACCGTGCGCTCACTAGCAGCTCTGCTGGCGGCGGCCGCGGGGGCGGACCCGAGCCGCGCAGGGCGGGCGGGGGCGCGGGGGCTCTACCACTCTCAGCCCCCCAACAGGTGTCTCCCCCTTTCCTTACAGCCAGATTCAGGGGGAGGAGGCGCTGGAGAGCTTCGGGGAATGGTGCGAAGGAGAGTGAGGTGTCCAACGCCACTGGACTCTGAACCTGAGCCCCACCCAGCCTCAAAAATCGTGTCCCGCACACCCACACTCAGTACCGGGCACTCACACACTAACAGCCGCTTTCATACACCAACACACCTTGTGACAAGTTCAGGCACACAGCTGCCGGGTCTCGCACTGGTTATGTGATCCCTACAGTATCCATGGATTGGGAAGGATGCTGGGGTGAGTGTGTGGGGGGCCCAGCTGGAACAGAAGCATCTCTCCTTGCCCTGCCCACGTACTTCCCCAGCTGCATGTGTGCCTCAGTTTCCACACACGCGTGCACGTGGTGGTGGACCCACACCAGTGCATTCACAGACTCAGAGGGCTCTTAGCCAACCACACGCGCATAGCAGGGTACACATACCACATGCCCAAAGCACACAGTTTTTCTTTTTTATCTATTTTGACACTCTATTATGGACATTTCCAAACATAGAAGAGTGAATAGTATAATGAACCTCTGGTACTCATCACCAGTTTGTTTCCACAGTGATCAGCATTTTGTCCTTTTTCACACGTTCTCTGCCCATGTGTGTCTGACTCCTAAATCTCTATCCCCTGAGCTCCTCCGCCAACTGTTTGGGTCTACCAAACTCCCAACTATTCCCCAGATGCTGACATGCTGTTCCTTATTTGGGGGTCCGGAGTGGCAGGCCTCTCAAGATTTCTGTTCTGAGAGGCCTGGACCCCACTCCTCTCGGGTATCCTCATACTTTCACACTTTCTTCCTGTGCCCAAGGGGACCTACTACCAAATGCATGAGGGCCACCAGAGATGATGCCAAGTGTGTCAGTGAACAGCAAGTGTCTGTAGGGGTGACAGCTGGCATAGGTATGAAACGATGTCAAATCCTGTGGCACCAGGAACCATCCTCTGGCCTTATTACACCCAGGGAGGCACACATGCCCCAGGGCTGTGATTCCTCAGGAAGGCAGGACTCCAGATGTGACCTTTGCAACCTCGCTCCTCCTCTCCCAATCAGTCCCCTCCTCTCAGCCTCAGATTGCTCTAGGTCAGACCACCAGCGCCTCTGACCAGGCTCTCATGGTGGTAGTGATGGCTGCCACCTCCTGCTAGCCCTGCCTCCAGCCTCCAGCCTCCAGCCTTCTCCGGAGCCCAGCTCCCACTACAGCAGGAAGTCTTTTTTCGTTATGGCTCATCCCCGGCCACACTGACGCTAAGCTCTACTCATACCCCACCATCCCCCACCTCAGTTTTCAGGCCTCACAGAGCTTGTCACAATCCCCCACCCACCAGAGGTCTCAGTGATCCAACCACCTTCAGTACTTATGTCCCCTTCCCCATGGCTTTGTGTGGTGTGAGTCTCCTGGGGCATAGTCAAGCCTCCTTCTCTGTCCAGCCTCTCACCCCTACACTGTGCCCACAGAAGGGAGAATTGGTGAGAGTGCAGGGGCAGATAGACATGCCCTGGGGGTCTACTGGTGGACTAGAGGGCAGAGGCTAGCCATCTGCAGAACTCCTGTGCCCAACTTGCTCCCTTCCCCCCTATACAGCTTCCCCTGGCTACTCAGAGGAGGTGCCTGCAGACAGCTGGTAACATTCTTCCTGGAAAGGTAGGAGTTGGCTTGGGGAAGTTCCAGTTCTGATGGTTTGGAGGTTGCTTGGCAGGGTTGGGGTTGAGGAAGGAGAGGGGTGAGGGACTGGCCGGCTACCCATCCCCCACAATCAAGCAAGCAAAGTAAACCCACCTTTGGGATCTGGGCGAGGAGAGCTACCACTGGGAAGGGAGGAGGAGAAGGAATAAGCTGACCAGGACCTGGTGTCTCTCTCTTCATCTGTGGAAAGGAAAGGCTGCCTCTCATACCCACACATAGTCTGGTCCTACGCCTCATAGAGACAAGGGCAAACAGACCTAGACCTCCAGGGGCCAGTGGTTCACTCATCCAGTACGTATTTACTGAGTACCTACTTTATGCCAGGCACTGTTGGACACAGGGGTGAATGAAACACAGTCCCTCTTATAATGGTATGATTCTAGTGGGGGAAATATATAGTGTGTCAGAGGGTGATAAGTACCATGGAGAAAAATGTAGCGGGGTTGGGGGGAATAGAAAGGGGAGAGTGAATTAGTTATCTATTACTGTGTAACAAATCACCCCAAAATTTAGCAGCTTAAAACAACAAACCTGTATTTTTCTCACAATTCTGTGGGTCAGGAATTTGAATGGCTTAACTGAATGGTTCTGACTCATTGTCTTTTATGAGGTTGTTATAAAAATATTGGCTAGGGCTGCAAGTTACCTGAAGGCTTGCCTGGGACTGGAAGATCAACTTCCAAGATGGCTCACTTACATGGCTATTCGCAGGAGATGTTTCTCCCCACATGGGCCTTTCCATAGGATCACTTGCATGTTCTCCCAACATGGCAGTTGGCTTCCCCAGGTGATCCAAGAAAGAGAGACTAAAGAGGCAGCAATGCTTTTTATGGTCTAGTCCTGGAAGTCATACACTGTCCCTTCTGCCATATATTATTTGTTAAACTACATAACTAGTCTAGCCCCACAGTCAAGGGGGAACAAAATCAGGCTTCAACTCTTGAAGGGAGGAGCATCAAAAATTTTATGGAGGTGTTTAAAACCACTACAATAGGGATACTAAGTGCCAAGGGAAGGATTCACTGAGCAGGAGTTGAAGGAGGGAAGGAAGAGAGCCATGTGGACACCCAGGGAAGAGTACTGCAGTCAGGAGGGTAGCAGGTGCAAATATCCTGAGGTAGAAGTTTGCTTGATGTGTCAGAAGAAAAGCAAGGCCACTGGTTTGAAATAGGGTGGTGAGTGGGTGAGTGGCCAAATGTTTGGTCAGAGGTAACATAGGCCTTGGAGTAGGCCCTTGAAAAGCATGAAAGGACTGAAAGAGATGGGGAGCCATTGGAAATGTCTCAGCAGAGAGTGAAAGTCTGACTCTGGCTGCCATGTGGAGAGCCCTCCACACAGGACGCAAGCATGAGGATAAGCTATGTGGCTGTTGCAGTAGTCTAGGCAACAGATGATGGTCTTGGACCACGGTGGTAGCAGTGGAGGTGGCAAGAAATGGTTAGAATCTGGCTATGTTTTGAGGATAAAACACGACTGTCAATGGGTTGGATGTGGGATTGAGAGAAGGAGAGGTGTCCAAGATGATTCTAAGGTTTCTGGCCTGGGCAGCTGGGTAAATGGAGGTACCTTTAATTAAGACAGTAAAGACTATGGGTTAGCAGTGCAGGACTGGGAGAGAAATCAGTTGCTTTGGACATCTTAACTTTGCAATACCTATCAGACAACCAGGTGGAAATATTGAGTAGAAATGAAGGTAGTAAGATTTCCAAATCTGGTACTCAGGGAAGAGATGTAGGCCGAGATAAAAATTTAGGACTCTAGATGTATAGATGGTAGAAACACAACAACAAAAAACCAACCAAACAAAAAGATGTATAGATGGTATTTAAAGTCATGATATGGGCTGGGTGCTGTAATCCTAGCACTCTGGGAGGCTGTGGCAAGAGGATCACTTGAGCTCAGGAGTCAAGACCAGCCTGAGCAAGAGCGAGACCCCATCTTTACAAAAAATAGAAAAATTAGCCAGGTATAGTGGTGCATGCCTGTAGTCCCAGCTACTTGGGAGGCTGAGGCAGGAGGATTGCTTGAGCCCAGGAATTTGAGATTACAGTGAGCTATGATGATGTTGCTGCACTCTAGCCCAGGTGACAGAGCAAGACCCTTTTGCAATAAAATAAAATAAAATAAGGCCGGGCGCGGTGGCTCACGCCTGTAATCCTAGCACTCTGGGAGGCCGAGGCGGGCGGATTGCTCGAGGTCAGGAGTTCGAAACCAGCCTGAGCAAGAGCAAGACCCCATCTTTTTTCACTGTAGTTAGAAAGAATAACAAAAAAAAAAAAAAAAAAAAAAGACCCCATCTCTACCATAAATAGAAAGAAATTAATTGGCCAACTAATGTATATATAGAAAAAAAAATTAGCCGGGCATGGTGGCACATGCCTGTAGTCCCAGCTACTTGGGGAGGCTGAGGCAGGAGGATTGCTTGAGCCAGGAGTTTGAGGTTGCTGTGAGCTAGGCTGACGCCACGGCACTCACTCTAGCCTGGGCAACAAAGCGAGACTCTGCCTCAAAAAAAATAAATAAATAAAAAATAAATAAAAAAATAAAATAAAATAAAGTCATGAAATAATTGAAATCACCTTGGAGGGGATGTACATAGAGAAGAAGTTTGACAACTAAGTCCTAGGAAGTCAGAGAATGAGGAAATAAGAAGGATCCAGTAAAGGAAGTAGTAAAGGAAGAGTGTAGTGTCCTGGAAGCCAAACAGTGTTTTCAGAGTGACTACCTGTCAAATGAAAGTTGAGAACTATGAAATGACCACTGGACTTGGCAACAGAGGTGGAGAGGGGCCTGGGTGCCTAGTCCTTTGTGGGAGGGAAGGAGAGATGACAGGGGGACCTAAGGCATCCCTGACAGATGTGGGCTGAGTTGAGACAGAGCTGGGTTACAGGGTGGGAGAAATCCTCCCAGGAGGTATGACTTTGCAACCAGGATCAATGGAGAAGCCCCAGCAAGGGCCTGTCATGTCCAACATGGTGGTAGTGTTTGGGAGTTGGGATGGCCAACTTACCTGGGCTACACATTCATTCAGAGCCACAAATTTAGACCTCCAATGTTGCTTAATGAGGTTATACGTATAGTCTTTTGTGTTCATAAGAATGTCAAATTTTAAAAATAATTTTTGTAATCATGTTTCTTCCATTTTTAATATACCAGCAATCTTATGAAGTGGCAGTGGTCTAGACCTTAACCTCAAAGCAGGACCAGGACAAGCGTGAGGCCAGGTTGGTGCCTAGGGTGCAGAAGGCAAGAGCAGTCTTTGGTAATGAGTGCACTTTAGGCACCCCTCTCACCTCACCCTAGTCTTGGTCTTACCTGCCTCACATGCTGCCAAGTAGTGTGTCTGCTTCCCACCCTGGGAGCCTCCACATAAGTGGTGAGTCCTGGAGAAGGTAGACCACAGAGAGGAGGAATTCCTCTGGGTGGCAGTAGACACTACACTCTAGGAGCCCAGAAAAAAGCGGACTGAGAACTATGCCTTTCAGCTCAAAAGCGGGTGCACATTGCCACCATGTGGCCATCCAGAGCAGGGTTCTAAGCACTGTTCCCAGAATTGCGCTCCTAGAGAGGTGAGGCCAAGACACAAAACTACCTCACCCAGCTCTGAATTTCTCAAATTGTGGCAGTCACAACTGTGTTGGAAGGGATCTTCTTAAAACATGCTGATTTCAAAGCCTCAACTCAGAACTAGTCTCTGGCAATGGAACCCAGTAATGTGTAGACTCAACAAGCTCCTAGGTGATTCTTAGGCACACTCACATATATAGTTCCTACTAGAGTCTGAAGCTATCATCTGATAAACTGAACCACAAAGCAAGAGGCTCTTCTGAGGTTTCCCCAAGAGTTAGAGGCTTTTCCTGCTGCTCAGACACACAAAGAAATGGAACTGATCAACAGGTCTTTATTAACAGAAACAGACAGACGGACAGAGAATGTAGCAAGGGCTGTCTGAAATCATGATGGGGGTGTGTGTTTGCACAGAAAAGGCCTTCTCTAGGCCAAGCGTGGCCCCTTGGAATTAGGCCCACATCTCCTCAGTGGTGGGCCTTGGGCTAATGCCAGCTTCCCCATCACACCCCTGAGGGGGAACAGGGGTCTTTTAGGAATGGAAGACTCTGACTTCAGCATTCTCCACATTACTCTGATTCTCCAGGTGACTTGGTTGCTGAGGAGGTGGGGGACAAGCCACAGGGGCACTTGCATAGCAGGGGAGTAGAATGGGGATAAGGCATATGGTGAGGTCAGGGGAGAAGGGGAAGGGCATCACAGCTGCAGGTTATGGGGGCCTCCAAAGGGCAGCTCCTCTCCATTGCCCCCAAATTGCTGCTGGGTTGAGGAGTCAGACTGAGGCAGTGTAATACCCACCCCCATCCTTAACTCCAGAGCCCTGTCTAGGGGGAGTGGGTGGGAAGCTCTGGAAAGGCCTGAGTTAGTGAGTCAAGCTTGTGGTGTATGTGTTTGAACATGAATGGCTCTCTTGTATATGTGAGGCTCCCTCTCTGGATGGGTGTGAGTGTGTGATCCTGCTGTACACACAGATCTCTGTATCTATATGTGTCCCATCTGTGTCTCTGTGTTTGGATGTATAAGCATGGATGTCCCTGCTTGTACACAGGAACTCGACATCTGCATGGTGTGAGTATGTCCCTGTCTGTAAACATGGGCTCCCGCAGGTGGACATGTGTGGGCCTGCCCACTCCTGTTCATCCGCAGCTCTTCCTTCAGGCCTGGCTGGTCAGGGGTCCTGGCCGAAGAGGTAGGTGGTAAGCTCAAGTCGGAGGCCCCGGGCATAGGAGCGAAGAGTGTAGAAGAGGGTGAGGAAGTCCTGGGTGCTGAAGACAGTGTCAGCCAGTGCGAAGGCCAGGGTAGATGGGATGACACCCCGACCATACTCCACCATCCATGTGTTTGGCCCCCATTCCACAGCAGTTGCCTCTCCAGGCCCATGCACTACCGTCTCCCCTGGCGGACAAGGAGCACCACATGAAGAGCCCAGCTCTGCCCTGCCTTTCCATTGCTGCTGCTTCTCTAGCCCATGGGCTATGGGGCGGGGGCGGGGTAATGGAAAGGGAGCTTCAGCAAAGGAAAAAGCCCTATGTCACTGGGCTGGTTCCTTACCTGCAGGCCTAAGAGACCCAGATAGTCGCTACTAAATGTTCTTCTGTGGCATCACCTGGCCCATGTCTTCTTTTGGGGGAAGCCATGGAAGGTTAGGTTACCTCACCTGGCCACGGGCCCATTGCCTGGAAGTCATGGAGGTCTGTATTCCCAAGCCTCACTCATGTCAAGTAGGACTTTAGCTAAACTTGGGCTGGGCTTGTTAGATAGGGAAGAGGTAGTTACAAGACTTGTGAGAGTTTCTGAGAAATGTAGCTGTTCAATCCAATGCCTGCCATGTTGACATTCAACCTCAAACTAACTTGGAAGTCCAAAGCTCTATGTAAACTGTTTTATGTAAACTGTTAAACCTTAAAAAAAAAAAAAAAGAAAAGAAAAGAAATGCTCTCATACCCCTTTTAGGGTATGAGAGCATTTCTGATTACCCAACTGTCTCCCCAACAATTGTTGGAATATTGGCTAGGGAGATAAAAATCAGACATGTTTAACAGGAAGCTCTGACAGAGAAAAGCAACAGGGTCCCTCAGCTCTGCCCCAACCAACCACCTGTGGTTTATGGGGGGGTGAGGTGGGAAGGGAACCATGGGGAGGGCCCCACAATGTACCCCTTTGCCATGCCAAGCCATGTCCCACCTCTTTGTCAGAGCATCCTTACCCACCTGGGTAGAAGACCTCACTTTTGGTGGTGCCCTCTCTCCACTGGTGGAAAGTGCCAGAGATGATGGTGTCCGATATCTCAGCCCAGTAGCGCCCTGAGTGACAATCCAATGGACACTATCAGGGTATTCGCACCATCGCATAGCCCAGCCAAACATTAGAAAGGAGGGCATACGCCCTAGTACAGCCCCAGCCCCCCAGTCCCGCCCGTTGGTAGCACTGACCCGAGTGGCCGCGGGAGCCCAGGGCGGTGCCGAAGAGCAGCACATACTCGGACAGCGAGGCGTGCAGGAGGCACATGGCGCCCATCCAGCCGCCCGCGTTAACGAACACCCACTGCAGCTCCTCGTCTGGCAGCACGTGGCCTGGGTGCAGCCGCCGCAGCTCCACAATCAGCCGAGAGAAGGCCAGCTCGTGGTCCAGCCCTGGGGGAGGCAGAGAAGCGGCGGAGTCAGGGCCAGCACAGGTCCTGGGCTCAGGGATGGCGTCCTCGGGAACCTTCGGCTCGGCTCCCGGGCCGCCCGCCCCCTCCCCGCCCTCTGCCCGCTCACCAGCGTACTGCCGCGCCAGCTGCGCGATCTCTTCCTGCTGGAAGACGAAGCTCTGCGTACCCAGCCAGAGCCAAACGACCTGGGCTAGCACAGCTGCGGCAGCCAGAAGCAGCGCAGCCCACGCCCACCGCCGGCCCACGGCCCACTGCATCCCGGCGGGCGGCCTGGCACAGCGCAGCTCAACGGGGAGCCCAGGCCTGAGGCTTTGCACTCACCGCCGCTGAGCCCGCCGGCAGCTGCCCACGACTCGCTCCCCCGCCACTGCCGTGGTATGGCTCGCCCCGGCCAATCAGAACGGCCCGGGCACCCCGGCGCCGCCCCTTCGGTTGAACCATTTCCTAGTGGAGAGCGCGGAGGGGTGGGGCGGCGCCGCGCACGTGAGGCGAGGGGGCGGGGCCATCGTCCTAGCTGCTCGAGTTAGGGTCTTCTGGCAGGGTCTGTCCTCGTGTGGCTCCACGTAGGGATGGAGCGGGTGGCGGCGAGACCCGGGATGGATTGGCTCACCTAGGCTCACTGGCTGGTGAAGCAGACGAGGCTGGAAGTAGAGCCTTTTGGGACTCCGGATTGTTAAGGCCTGCCTTTACTAGCCAGCACAGAAACGGAGGGGAGGCGGTCCAACCTGGGAGCCTTAGGGAAGGCTTTCCAGAGGCGGTGACCCCTGAGCTGTATCTTTAAGAGCGATGGGAAGGGCATTCCAGACGAGGAGACAGTCTAAGTCAGCAGGGGTCCTCAAACATTTTAAACAGGGGGCCAGTTCACTGTCCCTAAGACCGTTGGAGGGCCGGACTACAGTTAAAAAAAAACTATGAAGAAATTCCTATGCACACTGCACATATCTTATTTTGAAGTAAAAAAACAAACGGGCAAAAATACCCACATGTGGCCTGCAGGCTGGTAGTTTGAGGACGCCTAGGAGCAAAGGCCCCAGGCGAGAGACAGCATGGGCTCTTCAGGGGCCTGCAATTCATTCTTCATTCTGTAGCACAAAATGTGAGAGGAGGGCCTCATAAACCAACTGAGAGTTACCAGCAGGGGAGCGACGGGATTAGACTTTACAGGGCAGTGGCACAGGGCTGCTAAGCAGAGGGGAGCAAGATGACGGGGAGACTATGATTATGGTCCCGGTAAGAGAGAAGGTCTGTGTCAGGGGAGACAGAAAAAAAGAAATCAGCTTGTGAATTCTGAAAACACAGTTGGCAGAGCTTGATCTCTTCTCCTGGAATACTCTTTTCTCTCCATCCTATCCCCTCCTTCCCCATACTTGACTAACATTTTGTTCCTGTCTAGTGGGCAATTGAGTGTCCAGGTCTGGTGCTCAGATCCAGTCTGGTGACAGAGGGCTAGGAGTTGTCATTTAATCAGGCACTTGTATGTATGAAGTTCTGTGGTGGCCACTGGAGATGTGGCTATGAATGATGCAAGCATAGTCCCACTTCAGTTTAGAGATCTCACCGGGGAGTCTACAGAAAAAGTGGTAATTAAAACCTAAAGAATGGACCAAATCTCACAGGGAGAGGGACTAGAGTAAGATAAGGCTAAGGACAGACCCCTGGAGAACACTAACAGCTAAGGGATAGGCAGAGGAAGAAGAGACCAAAAAAGAAGAGAAGCAAAAGAGAGAAAAGAGACAGCATAGTGCAGTGATTAAGAAATAAACTTGAGAGCTAGACTGACTGGGTTCAAAGCTTGGCTCCTGCTACCTACTATAATAGTTGTGTGAAATTGGGTGAGTTACTTAGAATCTCTGTGACTTGGTTTTTGTTTTTCTTCTATCTGTGACTTAGTTTTTTTATCTGTAAAGTGGAATAAGTAAAAGTACCTACATCATAGTACATACCTTCATTGTGATGGAGATTAAATGAGTTAATATTTATAAAGCAGGCCGGGTGCAGTGGCTCACCCCTGTAATCCTAGCATTCTGGGAGGCTGAGGCGGGAGGATCACTCAAGGTCAGGAGTTCAAAACCAGCCTGAGGAAGAGCAAGACCCTGTCTCTACTAAAAATAGAAAGAAATTAATTGGCCAACTAAAAATATATAGAAAAAATTAGCCGGGCATGGTGGTGCATGCCTGTGTCCCAGCTACTCGGGAGGCTGAGGCAGTAGGATTGCTTGAGCCCAGGAGTTTGAGGTTGCTGTGAGCTAGGATGACGCCACCACAGTCTTTTTTTTGAGACTCTGTCTCAAAAAAAAAATTATAAAGCAATAGTGCCTCACATGGTGAGCATTATATTTGTTAGTTATATAAGTAAAACATAGAGGAGCTAGAAAAGTGTAGCGTCACACATTGGAATTTTCAACCTAAAGAGAGAAGCTAGCCAGGCATGGTGGCTTGGTCCCAGCTATTCAGGAGGCTGAGGCAAGGAGATTGCTTGAACCCAGGAGTTTGAGGCAGCCATGAGCTGTGATCTTGCCACTGCCTGGGTGACAGGAAATTTATTTGGGCCAATGTTGAATACAGCTGCCCAGGAAACACTTCCAAGTTGCCTTGGGGAGTGCTCTGTTTGGCCTTTGATATGAGCAAGTTTTTTTTTTTTTTTTTGAGACAGCCGTCTCGTTTTGTTGCCTAGGCTAGAGTGAGTGCCGTGGCGTCAGCCTAGCTCACAGCAACCTCAAACTCCTGGGCTCAAGCGATCCTTCTGTCTCAGCCTCCCAAGTAGCTGGGACTACAGGATGAGCCACCACTGCCTGGCTAATTTTTTATATATTTAGTTGGCAATTAGTTTCTTCTATTTATAGTAGAGACGGGGTCTCGTCTTGCTCAGCTGGTTTCGAACTCCTCGACTCGAGCAATCGCCCGCTCAGCCTCCCAGAGAGCTAGGATTACAGCGTGAGCACCGCGCCGGCCAACTATTGAGCAAGTTTTTAACCACTTCGGTGCTGCAAAACCTTGCCCACAGCTGGCACTCACAGTCCGCATGATAGTCTGTGCTGTGCTTGACGAGGATCGTTTTGCTCTTGTGTGATGAGGAAAGCTTTAAAGCACTGAAAGCTTGTTTTACTTTACAGGCAGCTTTACTTGTAAGGTAAATCAGAATAGGTAACGTATATGTTTTCATTATGTTATTTTTAAATGTTCACAATTTTATTTTGATAAATGAAAATTAGAAAAGTCATATCACAGCTGTCAGCTAAAGTCGACGCTTGGCTGTGCACCTTCATATCACGGCTGTCTGGTAAAGTCGCTGTGTGTGTTCATCTGTGGCTGTCGACTATAGATGACGCTGGTACCGAAGTGGTTAAAGACCAAAAGGGGATAAGGAGTGGGCTGGTACAAAGTTGTTTGACAGGCATTCTCATTGGTTTATAGGAATAACATTGATTAGTAATTGTCTATACATTGTTGACCTATAGGGTATGAGTTATAGTGTCCAGTATGTTGCATTTCATGGCTAGTTGGCATCAGTTAGTCTAGAGCCCACATAGCAAGTGGCTTCAAGAAGTATTAATGATTATTAGCTTGGGGAGTGGGTGAGACATGACTGCTATCATATGCTGTCACATTTCAATGCCTCTCTGGGCCTGATAATTAAAGGGGACTCATAATCCTGAGATAAAAAGTTTCTTTTCTTTCTCAGAGTGATGGATTGAAGGGGCAACACAGTCAAATATAATTGATTCAATAAGATGGTAAGAAATGGTCATTAGATTTCTCAGTAGGGGCATGTGGTGGAGACAATGCTATCCATTCACAAATCCATTTCCTTTTGCTCTTGGGCAGCCAGATTACATTCCACAGTGTACTGTGTAGTTAGATGGGGCCATGTGATTGTGTTCAAGCCAATGAAATATAGGCAGAAATGATGTATGACACTTCCAGGTCTGGCTCCTAAAATCTCCTCTGATACATTCTTTTCTTCCCTCATCCATTACAGAGGATCTAGTGGAGAATTCTGAGGTCCTAGGAAATGGCAGAGCCACTAAATGGATGGTGCCTGGGTCCCTGACTGCTGCTTCGGACAGAGCTCCTCTTTCCTCACCACAATGTGCTATGATGCTAAGCCATGGAGCTTTGGGGGTTGTTTGTGATAGCAACTAAGATTACTTACTCTGACCAATACAGGGCAAAAGACATGCTACAATATACTGTGCAGCTAAGAGTAGAGGCTGGGAAGATGGACTAATTTTTTAGGAAATTGGCAGAGAAAGGAAATATAAAGGAGGAATTATCTAGAGGAAAGAATGCAGGATTGAGGAAACATGTTTTTTAATTAGCTCTGGCTTCTGTGGCATTCCTGAGTTGACAATTTGCTAAGAACCCTGAGCAGCAGGTACTATCCCCAAAACCTGGTCTTTGTCCCCCATTCCAGGCAGAGCCTTCTGGGACTATCTGGGCCTGCAGCTTCCCTATTTGGTCTTTCAGAAAGCTTCTCCAGCTCACATTGTTTAAAAACAAACAGACAACAAAAGGAATGTTTCATGGACTTGAGAGACCCCAGTTAGGGGACAGAGGGGCTGAGGGTCACAGCCATCTTTTCCCAGATGTCATAACAAAGATCACACCTCTGGGATCTGAGAGGAAAAGTGCTGAGTAGATCCCATCTCAGCCATTCTCCTCTTCCTCCAGAAAGTGACCTTGGAGAGACACAAAGAGAGGAGAGGTGTGGAAATGTTCCCAAAGAGATGTTCCTAAAGGAGGTCAGGAGTTAATTGGCATGATCCAGGGAGTGGCTTGTAGTACTGCTGTTCTTGGGAAAATGGAGCTGCCTCCCAAATCCAGTCACTGAAAAAAAGACAGCTGAGAGAGTAGAAGAGCAGATTTCCTATCCCTGTCCCACCCTTTCGGTTACAGCCAGTGGGACAGGTTAAACCTCTGTTTCTAAGTCCCCAGATCCCTGCCCCCTACCTAGGGGCCTCTTCAGATTTCAGTCTGAGGACCCTAGGGCATAGATCAGGTAAATGACCAATGACCCAGTTTTTGCAGCTTAGCTGCAAAACACCTGGCTTGGCCTGGCCAGGCTTGGGGGAAGGGGCCTCCCTGCTATGGCTCAGCTCCTAGTTCACTGGGTCCTGAATTCCACTGAAGTCTCTCTCAGAGGCATCTCCCAGCACTGAGAAGAGCCTTGGAAACTTACATTCAAATCTCAGCTTGGCCACTCATTCTCTGGGTAACCTTCAGGCCTCTTCTGTTTCCCACTGTGAAATGGGGAAGAGGTTTAGACAATATTTAGATGGCTCTTTAAAAGTGACAGGAGAGAAATTAATTTGAATTCTATCTAAGCATTAGCCAATTGATCTGATCTAAGAAAAATTTGGAGAAGGAGATCTGTAAAGGAACA